AGATCTGCCCTCACAGAGGAGGGAGAGCTTGTACCTGAAGGTGGGCCGGGGGGGGGGGCTCTGCAACTTACCTGGCTGCTTCTTGCTCCTCGTGGCCCGACTGAGGGCTGCTGGGAGCAGGGGGCGGGGCTAGTTGCATGTGCCTGCCATCTGGGCTCATTACTGCTGGAGCTCCGCTCCTCTGCGCTCCCACAGGAAATGACCCCTGCATACGGCTTTGACTTGGTCTGGCTAATGTAATAAAGAGTGAACAACTGGGTTGTACCATTTTAGTTTAAAAAAAAAAGCCATCAAGTTCCTTAACAGCAAAAGGCTTTTCAGCAGTCGAAACCCTCTTTATTCTTACATGTCACCTGAATGCACTTTTATTCCATGTTACTTGGAGGGTAGGGATTTGGTAAAGATATCATTGCAGTCAAAGCTTCTACAGATCTCTAGTGATGGTGATTTTGAGAGCAGCAGTAAAGTAAAACTTCAGAGCCCTATTTCCTGTAAGCTGGCCTTCCAGTGGTTGGCTCTTCTGTATTAAAGAGGGTTGCTAACTCTGGGTTCAGAAAAACCTGGAGATTTCAGGGTGGAGCCTGGGAGGGTGGGGTTTAGGAAGGGGGGCTTTTCAAAAGTAGCCATTTTCTCCAGGAGAAGTGGAATAAATGTTTTAAACAAGCAAGCAATTCATGTAGCCTGGATATCGGCTATAATTGTGGGGGATCTCAGATCCCCATCCAGAGGCTGGCAACCCTAGTACAGAGAGAGTAGACAAACAGTTTTTTTAAAAAAATACCATTAAGTCTACAAAGTTGCTTAATTACTAGTAAAATTGCAAGTACTTTTGTTTCTAGTAAAGTGGGCATTTTCCATAATCATCCATGATTTTGAGAAACTATGAACTTTATATAAGGTAAACAAACCGAAAGACAGGCCCCTCTATAGAAAAATTTGACAACTGTGGCTAGGCTTGTCAAGTCCCGTTCCCCGCCGCCGGCGGATTGGGCCCCGGGGGGAACTCCAGCCCAACGTGCACGTTGCCCGGAAGTGACGCGGGCATGCTGGGGCATGCTAGGGGCGGGGCCACGGTCATCCGAGGGAAAACTCTATGGTTCCAGGCGCTCCAGCCGCCAGCCAGGAGTCCCCCGCTGCGGCGGAATTCACACTTGGCGACCCTAACTGTGGCATGAAATCCCCTTTGTTAATACAGATTTCTACCTCTAGATGGAGTAGTTTCTCACTTTAAAAACTATTTTTTGAATGACATTGATCTTGTCTTGAGATGTAAAATTTCCGGAAATTTTGAAGCTCAGAAAAAAACCCAGTTTTTTTTGGGGGGTTGGGGGTTGGGGGGAAATGGAAATTTTCAGGAAAATTGGAAAAAATGCTACATTAGCACTTCTTTTTTCTTTTCTAGATTGAAAGTCATTCTGTTACTTTAGGAACATAAAATATGACTCTGGACAATTTTACTTGGCACGAAATTATCACAACTAGCATATTAAATTATTATTTACACAAAGGTTATAAAGATAAACTAATGTAGCTAAATGATTCAGTTTTCTGGAATCAGATAAATGAAAACTCTTACCTTTTTAAATTAAGTATATACTTCCAGGTCCTTTTTGTTGCTCTGTATTTTCTTCCAGTGCTTTGAGGCCTAGTGAAGACTGAGTGCCAGTATACCCACCCACATGCTGAAACCTTTTTCTTTTCTTGTGACAATAGCACCTCCTAAAGGAAGAAATGCATCTTGTTCTTGCATTGGAGAGTTCAGTTTGTAACCTAGGACTTGCTTGTCCTCAGTGCACAGAAATTAGATTAATCTGATACCATGCATATTTTTTAGAAATGATTTGGAAAATATTTGAACACCTTGTCTTAAAATATTTTATTCATCATGTTAAAATAAAATGTTCCATAGTCATTTTTTTTATTTTAGTTTTTCAATTTTTTTGGAAAAAAACAAAAAAGGCTTCAGGGAAAAAACAGGGGGGGGGAACGGTTTCCCCCTGAATTTTCCCCATTTTTTCCCAGGCCTTCACATCTCTAGTCAGTGACCATTTTTCATATTTTAGTAGAATATTTTCCACTTGCTCGTTTTGAGGCCTCCTCATCAAGCATGTGGTGGCCATTTGAGAAAACGCCTTATGTTGGCTGTTTCTATGGTGTGGCCACTACCATATGCAGAATTTCCGTTTTTAGCATACTACCCCGAACACTGTTTTTTGAGCCAAAATAGTAGCAAGTGCTCTTGATTGGCTTTGTATAGGCAAGAATACAATTTGCACAAGGTTTTCACAGAATCCCGCTTGCGGGAAGTGCGGGATATAAATTGAAAAAATAAAAATAACATATATGCCCAATGAACTGCCCTTCAGTTTCATTCTTATATTTTATTAGGGTCTCCCACTCTTGCTATGGAAATGTCCAGCATATTGAGACAAATATGGTGGTGCAGGTTGAATCCATATGCTGAAATTGTCTTTTAGTTCTGGGGTCCTGTTCTGTTCCTCATGTCCCACTATAAAAAGAGTCACAGGAAACAGTGCTCTCTTCCTTTGAACCCAAAAACTTTGGACTGATCCCCATTGCCACTTAAAGAACAGCAGCTTGCTTGTGCTAATAGAGTAGTTGGAAAATAGGCTGTAGCCTTTTAAGTGGGCTTGCCTAACACCAGTGACTGAAGGGTCATTTTTGTGTGTCTCTTCACAATTATTTACATCCTCAACCAACACAATGTCTGTTAATTTTAATTGATTATATATCCTCTTATTTTAGGTCGTAAATTCAGGTGACAAAAACTTGACATAAAGTGGTGTGCAGTACAACTCACTGGGCTTAATGGCTTTTTGACTTGAACAGCAGCAGCTTTGCTTTGAATCTTTTGAGTTTTCAGAATACCTGGAGTTCAATTTATCAATCACTATGAGCGAAACCACACTTAACCAAGAGCTACAGTACAGCCTCAGTGTCATTCAAAAGATTCAGATAATTCAAAGTGCTGAAAACATGGGGGACAACTGGTATATTTCAAGAAGAAAGTATCACATAGTGGTTCTTTAATAGATTGGGAACAAGTGGTAATTTATTGTGGGGCGTTGAAATTTGTACTTGCATATTTTTTATCATTATGCATTTACTGAAACTTACTGACACATTCATGTAGAATAGGTGTCTCAGTGGCCATTAGCCATTACAGCTGACTTGAACCTTTATGTTCAGAGGTGAATACCAGTTGCTTCATGGTGAAATAATGATGGAGAGCTCTTGCTTGCATGAAATATTTGTGGGGTTGCTTTTGGAAAGACTGGCTGGTCTTTGTGGGTCACCATTTGGTCTGGCACAGTTGGGAGCTTATATAGTGTCAGTAATACCTTCTTCATCAGCTGGAGCATCTCTGGTCTTTGTGGAAGCATCACTGGCCCTCACAATGACACCATCTCAAAATAAAGTTACTGCATTTTCATCTTGTACTTCATTTATTGTTGACCATATTTGGCACAGAATTTTTATGGGACAAGGTACATAATAAAGGTAAAGGTTCCCTTGCTCGAAAGCCAGTCGAGTCCGACTCTAGGGTTGCGGTGCTCATCTCCGTTGCCAAGCCGAAGAGCCAGCGCTGTCCGAAGACGTTTCCGTGGTCATGTGGCCGGCATGACTAAACACCAAGGCGCAGGGAACGCTCTTACCTTCCCACCGAAGTGGTACCTATTTATCTACTTGCAATTTCTTGCTTTCGAACGGCTAGGTTGGCAGGAGCTGGGGCCACAGACGGGAGCTCACTCCGTCATGCGGCACACCCGGGTCTCGAACTGCTGAACTACCGACCTTCCACAGCCTGCAATTCAGCGTTTTAACCACTTGAGCCACCACAGCGCCTAAGGTACATAATAGAGGAACTGAAATACAATACTTTAGTCAATACACATACTGTCCCACTAGCTCCTGCAGGTCTCATTCCAGCTACCATTAGTCATGACTAAATCCCACTGAAACAAACGATACAGGTTGCTCTGATGCTTTTAATGAGGCTCACAGTGAAATCCTATGCATGGTTGCTTAGAAGTAAGTTCAACTTTATTCAGTACAGTTTATTTCCAGGTAAGTTAGCATAGGATCTCGGCTTGAGTTAGGACTAATTTTAGTTGGATCAGGCTCAGTGGAATTCTGTCCACGGTCCATAATCCAAGTGAAATTATCTGAAGTGTATCTGCGGGTGACTGCCTCACTGGGCATTTCTCAGGTTCTTTACGTTAAGTTCAGTATTACCAATCTAACCTTTTAGAAAACCACTTTACATTTCTTGACTTTTATGTTAGGAATTGATAAAGGTTATTTTATGCAAAGATATTTTATATCATCAGTGATAATGTGTGGAATTGTTTCTGTTTCATAAACGAAACGTGCCCTTGAGACTTTGTATAGAATAAAGTACTACTGCATGGGTCTTTTATTACTCTCTGCCCAATGAACTGCCCTTCAGTTTCATGGCAATAGTTAAGATAAAAATTTCTTGCAGAATTTCTAGAAATTGATCATAGCTCATCTTTGTATGCTAAAAGTCCCAAATTCATGTATTGGCCTTCCCACTTAAATGCATCTTGGGGTAACAGCGTTGGCTAGATAGATAGTTCTTTAACTCCATAAAGGGCAGTGTCACATAAAGTATTGCTCTTTGGTTTTAATGGAATTTAGTTTTATTGAAGGACACTTAATACCATGAAAGCTGCTGGTCTTAATTTACTTTTGCTTAAGTCATTCAGACCATATTTCCTGCTCCCCCCAAAAAAACTTTTCAGAAAAACTACCAAGATATCTTTGGTCTGGAATACGAGAGTGATGTATAAATCCATATTCTCTCCAATGCAATATTTGTAAGAAAAATGTTGTTCCACCCACACTTTGTATAGATTAGTTTTTAATTGGAATAAATTGAAATTCAAAATTAGATGTCTTGGGTATTATTTGACCATCTC